ACCAACTTCTGCAGAGGTGGTCTATCAAAATCCTGGCATCTGCAACGTTGTAAATGTTGCTGTTGTTAGATACCACCGAGGCCATTCTGACTCCCAGTGACTCTATGAACAGCAGAATGAAACACTGCCCAGTCCTGTGCCTCTCTCACAATTGTCCTTACATTTGAGCCCATTGCTGCCATGTGTCAGTGCATCTTGTTTGACCCTCCACTTTATCAACAATGATGTCCTTCTCCATGACTGGATCCTCCTGATACCATGTCTGTAGTATGAGAGACAAAGTCTCACCATCATGATTTCTAAGGGGAATTCTAGCTGTACTTTTTCCAAGACAGATTCGATTATTGTTCTGGCAGTCCATGGTACTTTTAATATTCTTCTCCAACACCATTATTCAAATGTATTCATTCTTCTATGGTCTTCCTTATTCATAGTCCAACTTTCACATGCATATGAGGCAATTAAGAATACCATGGTTTGGGTCAGGCACATCTTAGTCCTCAAACTGATGTATTTGCTCAGAAACACTTTAAAAGACGCCTTTAATGAAATGTGTCATTTGATTTCTTGATTGTTGCTTCCATGGGTGTTGATTGCGCATTCCAGAAAAATGAAATCTTTGACAAATTTAACCTTTTCTCTATTTATCATGATGTAATCTGTTGGTCCAGTTGTGAGGATTTTTGTTTTCTTTACATTGAGTTGCAATTCATACTGAAGACTGTAGAATTTGCTTTTATCAGTAATATTTTAAGTCCTCTTCACTTCTAATAAGCAAGGTTGTATCATCTGCATATTGCAGGTTGTTAATGAGTCTTTCTCCAATCTTGATGCCATATTCTTGTTCATGTAATAAACCTTCTCAGATTATTTGATCAGGATAAAGATTGAGTAAGTATGAAGAAAAGATATAACCCGGGCACACACCTTCCCTAATTTTAAACCATTCAGTATCTGCTGGTTCTGTTCGAGCAACTGCATCTTGGTCTGTGTGCAGGTTCCTCATTGGTATAGTGAAGTGTGCTGGAATATTCATTCTTCACAATGTCATCCATAGTTTTTGTTTTGTTTTGTTTTTTTATGAACCATGCAGTTGAATACCTTTGTATAGTCAATAAAGCACAAGTAAGCATCTTTTTGGTTTTCTTTACTTTCAGCTAAGATCCATCTGACATCAACAATGATATCCCTTGTTCCACATTCTCTTCTGAATCCACCTTGAATTTCTGGCAGCTCCCTGTCAATCTACTGCTGCATTTTTTTTTTTTTTTAATTATCTTTAGCAAAATTTTACATGCATGTGATATTAATGATATTGTTTGAGATAATATTCCATTGGGTAAACTTTTTTTGGAATGGGAATAAACATGGGTCTCTTCCCTATCATTTGGCCAGATAGCTGTCTTCCAAATTTCTTAGCATAGATGAGTGAACACCTTCAGTGTTGCATGAGTTTGTTGAAAGATTTCAATTCATAGTCTGTCCATCATTAAAGCCTTCCTTTTTGCCAATGCAATCAGTGCAGCTTGGACTTTCTCCTTCAGTAACTTGATCATATTCTACTTCTTGAAATGGTAAAACGTTGACCATTTCTTTTTGCTATATTGTTGTTGTTAAGTGCTGTCAAGTCAATTCCAACCCATAGCAACACTTTATAGGGTTTCCAAGGAGTAGCTGGTGAGCTTGAACCACGAACCTTGCAGTTCAAATGATTTTGCAGTCTGATGCATTAGCCCACAGTGCCACACCAGGACGCATCTTTTTGCAATAGTGACTATGTATTTCTTTACACACAGAATCCTTCAATATTGCAACCCAAGGCTTGAATTTTTCCTTCAGTACTTCAATCTGAGAAATGCTGAGAATATTCTTCCCTTTTGGTTTTCTAACTCCAAGTCTTTATTGTTGTTGTTGTTGTCAGGTGCCATCGAGTCGGAATCGACTCATAGCGACCCCATGCACAGCAGAACAAAACAATGTCTGATCCTGGGCCAACCTCACTACTGCCGCCACACTTGACGCCATCAATGATGCCACCTGGCTGATCCATCTCGTTGGGGGTCTTCCTCTTTTTCTCTGACCCTCCACCTTACCCAGCATGACATCCTTCTCCAGCGACTGTTCTCTCCGGACAATGTGTCCAAAGTATGAGAGACGAAGCCTAGCCATCTTGGCCTCCAAGGAGCACTCTGGTTGCACTTCTTCCAAAACAGATCTATTGGTTCTTTTGGAAGTCCATGGCACTTTCAGTATTCTCCTCCAACACCACAATCAAGTCTTTATACATTTCATCATAATACTTGACTTGTCTTTGAAATTCTATGCAGCTCTTTTACTTTCTCATTTCTTCCATTTGCTTTAGCTTCTCTATGCTCAAAAGTAAGTGTCAGAGTCTTTTCTGACATCCATTTAGGTCTTTTCTTTTTAATGATATTTTGCTTTATTCTTACATAATGTTCTTTATATCACACCTTGACTCTTCTGGTCTTTGCTCATTAGTGTCTGGTGCATGAAATATATTCTTGAGATGGTTTCTAAATTCAGATAGGATATTTTGAAGGTTGTATTTTAGTTCTCATAACCTTGTTCTGGTGTGGCACTGTGGATTAATGCACTGGACTGCAAGGCTGGTTTGAACTTCAAGCTCATTAGTCACTCCTTGGAAACCCTTTATGAGTTGGAACTGACTTTGTTTTAATTTTCTTCAGCTTCAGTCTGAACTTGTATATGTGCATTTGATGTTCTGTTCCAGCATCAGGCCCTGACCTTGTTTTGACTGATGATATTGAACTTTTCCATTATTTCTTTTCACAGATGTAGTCAATTTGATTCTTGTATATTCCATCTGGTGAGGTCCATGTGTATAATTGCCTTTTATGATGTTTAAAAGAGGTGTTTACAATGAATATTCATTGAATGATGTTAGTGATCATGTAATCACCAGTGATTATCATTGCCTCTTGATTTCATGTTCGATTAATTTCAGGCTGAAGAAGTTGGTTTTTGTTGTTGTTAAGTGCCATTGAGTTGGTTCCAACCAATAGCCACCTTATGTAGGGTTTCCTAGAAGCAGCTGGTGAGCTTTAATCACCAACCTTGTGATTCAAACCAACTTTGTAGTCCAGTGCATCAACTCACAGCACCACACCAGGACTCCAAAGAAGTGGATCGTATTCTTCAATTTCATAATCCCTGATTGTACTGGTTAGTGCTTGAATTTGAATAATAGTGGTATTAACTGCTTTTCCTTGTGCTATTGCTGTTGTTAAATGCCATTGAGTCAATTCTGACTCGTAGTGACCCTTCATAGAATTTCCAAGGAGCAGCTGGTGGGATCTAACCACCAACCTTGAAGTTAACAGCCCAGTGTTAATCCTATAGTACCACACTGGGACTCCAGGTCTTCCTTGTAGTCATATGTATATTACCCTATCACAAACAACACTGTGTTTCAAGATAGATCTTGAAATGTTCTTTTTGACAAAGCCATTGCTTTTCAATTTGTCATTTCTGGCATAGTAAACCATGTGAATATCAGATTAGAAATTGTCAATGCCAGTCAATTTCAGCTCATTAATACCTAGAATATCTATCTTTATGGACAACATTTCATTTTTGACAACTTCCATTCTCCTATGTTCATATTTTTTACTTTCCATGTTCTGATTATTAATGGATATTTGAAGCTGTTTCTCTTCATTTTGAGTTGTGCCCATGGACTTGAAAGCTTTACTCCATTTACAACATTATGGTCAACTCTACTTTGAGGAGACAACTCTTCCCCAGTGGTATTTTGAATACTTTTCAAGCTAAGGGGCTCATCTTCGGGCACTATATTTGACAATGTTCTGCAGCTATTTAGGATGTTTTCATCTTTGAGCACTATATCTGACAATGTCCCACTGGTATTCATATGATTTTCAATGACTAAACGTTCAGAAGTAGGATGCCTCTTCTTCCTAGTCTGGAAGCTCCACTGAAACCTGTCCACTATGAATGACCCTGCTGATATTTAAAATAACAGTGGTGTAGCTTCCAGTATTACAGTAACAGGCAAGCCACCACTGTATGACGAAGTGACAAATAAGTAGTGGTTATAAATATTAATCAAGCAAAAATACCCCTAGAATGACTCTGTAGGAGAGCACTGGACTGCTAACGGCAAGGTCAGCAGTTCAAACTCATCAGCCACTCTTTGGAAACCATATACAGGGTCACTTTGATTTGGCACCTACTCAATGGCACTTATAACAACAACCCCCTTACTTATGATTTTTGTTTTTTTTTTAATCTCAGTAATTCTGTGATTCATTGGAACACTTTGTCAAGGGCATCTAGACTCTGTTTACCTGTTAGCAAAATACTCTTTAACTGTACTAAACTATTTGTTTTAAATGTTAATCAGACTTGTGTTGTTGTTGTTGTTGTTGTTTTCCACCACAATAGAGCCCTCTTGTGAAATATAGAGAGAGAACATGATTCAGTCCATAGATAATGCTTAGAGCACAAATATATTCCACAATAAACCTGAATTTTCATCACCTTTCATATCACAATCCAATGAATTTACTTTGGGTTTATGGGGGAAACATGCTTAGAAACACATGAAGTAAATCCATCTCGGAGGGGAGGAGATTAAGTGAAATGTATAGGATGTAGCTTTTCTGTTTTTCAGAATGTTCACAAGAGGAATTTCCTTCAGCTTACAGAAGTGTCTCATTAAAACATTCTAAAACTTGAGAAAATTGGTAAGGTGGGAGCCCTCTTTCTGGCTATTTGTGACCCTGCACTAATGAACAATGAGTTGTAGTGAGGTGTGGTGCTGTGGGTTAATGTGCCAGACCGCAAGGCTGTTTGAACTGCAAGGTCGGAGGTTCAAGTTCACCAGCTACTCAGCTGCTCTTGGAAACCCTATACAGGGTCGCTATGGGTCAGAACTGACTTGACAGCACTTAACAACAACATCCATATTATTATAGTAAAAGTAGATTTAAAAAATATTTTTGTTATAAGGCTTTAAATAATTTATTATAGTTAAGAAAGTTTTATAACATGCATATACACATACGCTTTTGGTGAAAAAATAATTCGAATCCAACATTATTTTTATTATTAAATAATAATAAATGAGGTATTCAAAGAGAATTGAAATGAAAATATTCAGATATCTTTCCTCCACACTCTGGTGTTACAAGAAATTCAGAAAAGGACATACCTGAAAAATTAAACTAAATCCTGAAGCTATACAAGTCCTAAAATCACTACTAAATCAGTTGTAATACTAATTGTATTAGTATTACTAATTAGTAATATTAGTATTAGTAACACTAATTGTATTAGTATATAGGGTCTCCATGAGTCGGAACTGACTCAATGACACTTTACAGCAACAACAGTACTAATTATATTGAAATACAGAAATATACAAAAAGCTACTATGTTTGGAGAAAATTACAAACATTTTTCTTCAGCTGTGAAAGGATAGAAAATATTTGAATTCATAGAAGAAAAATACTTTTTGCAGAATTCAGGCAAAGCTTACCCATTTCTCTGATAATTTTCCTGCAGCTCTTCAGCTCTTTCGGAATTTGCCATCTTTCTTATAATTTAGTTCCTCTGAAATAAAATGTTGACAAACATGCTATGTGAAATTTGATCACTTAGTTGACATAAAGCATCCTTTATAACCCTAACAAGATCTGAAAAATAAAAAAAAATGCCGCTCAATATTTCACCCCCAGACTCGCTCCTTCACTTGTCACCTGAAGTTTCTGATTTGATATTTCATCTACTCTGATTCTATCTGTGAATGTCTAATATTTGCCTCTGCTGAGCTTATATTTGGAGCTAACAAAAAATTTTAGATTTGGAATAAAAGAAGGAAAATAAGAAGGGCAACATATGGGTTTTTTTTAGGAATTTCATTCTCATCTTGCCACTGATTTGATATTAATTGATGAAAGCCTTTAAGTTATCGCATGCTTCGTTTTCCCTGTAAAACTGGCACAGTGGTTTCTTAAAAACAAGCTAACAGTCTGAGCGTTTTCTGCTTCCTCAATCCTGTGAGTAAATTAGATCTTCCATTGCATATGGATGAACGCTTATGAAAAGTAGACAATCTTGAAAATCTATTCATGATTAAAACTATACTGAGCATAATGTATTCTTCTTTTGGATGACACTTCAGGATCTTAGCTAGTATTAAGATTACTCACATAAGCTATTTTTTTTTATAGACATATAGAGAACTTTGTGACTCAACCTCATTCATTAATCCTTGTATCATATAGTCCAATGAGCTGATTGTGATGGATTTGAATTTAACCTCCAAAGTGGAATTACTAATTAATTAAGCAGTACCCGAGGATCTGAAAAAGCTAATGCAATTTCAAATAGAAAGTTTTTCCATGAAAGAAGGAGATCCAATGGGTTAGAAATGCTTTAGCTATTGAAAACGAAGCTGCGTTTATCCATAGGCATATTCTTACCTTTTTTAAAAGTAAAAGGTCATAACTCTGAATAAGATATCTTTTCAATTGCTATACTAACTTTGCACCATCTCGTTATTTGAAACATATAAGAAAGCAAACACTATCAACAATTTGCATGTCATAGAAATAAAATATTTAATAAAACTCACTTTAAATAAATACATTTCAGTATTTTCCCCTATATCTTTATGATCATAGTGTTCCTACCCAGAATTCACATAGTGTAATATAATAATCAATGATTTGCATTTCATAAAATTCAGAAAGAAGAGGCTCCAGGTCAACATAGAAGCCTGAAAAATTTTGATCACTGTTATAAGACAAACCTATAAAAAGACATTGAAACAATGAAACTCACCTTGGTAAGTATACTATCTGCCCATTTACAACAAGATTTTAGGTGGTTTCTCTCCTCAACAAATAATTACACTTTGATGACTGTGCTTTATGAAGCCTGCTTTCTGATCACGCTGTAATATCTGATTACAAAATTCATGAATTTCCTGGTAAAGCACATTATGTTCTTCATGTCATACTTCACTTGGGAAGTCAGTTGTGCAAAGAAAATCCTCTGAGCTAATTAAATTACTCATTTTAAAAATAAGATCTATTATATGTACTTCAGAGACATTGTGAGTTCAGTTCCAGACCACCTCAATAAAGTGAATATTGCAATAAAGCGACTCACAAATATTTTGATTTTCTAGTACTTTTAAAAAATATATTTACACTACACTATTATTTATTAGAACTTCTGGTATGGCACTGTAGGATCAGCACTGGACTATGAACTACAGGACAGCAGTTCAAACCCACCAGCCACTCCTCAGAAATGCTATGAGTTGGTAATGACTCTACAGCACTTAACAGCAACGACATTGTGTATTAAGAGTGTAATAGAAATATGGAACTTCTGTGGCACTGAAGGGTAAGCCCCGGGCTGTTAACCACCAGGGTGGAGGCTCAAACCCACCAGTCATTCCTCAGAAACTCTCTATATAATTTTGGACTGAAGAAGTTAGCAGAAGTCTTCAATTTAATCATCATTGGCTTTAGGGGTTTGAATGTAAATTTGAATAATAGTGATAGTAACTGTTCTTCCTTGGAGCATATAAATATTACCCTTTCACAGACATTTCTGTACTTCAAGAAAGATCTTGTTATGTTCTTTTTGATGATCAATTTGACACCATTCCTCTTCAATTTGTCATTACCAGTATAGTAAATCATGTGATTGCCAGATTCAAAATGGCCAATACCAGTCCATTTCACCTTACTAGTGCCTAAGATATCTATGTTTATGCATTTCATTTTTTGAAATGCGTAATTTCCAAAATTCACAATTTCCAATTTTCCTAAATTCAAATTTCATACATTCCATGTTCTGATTATAATGGATATTTACAGCTGTTTTTCTTCATTTTGAGTTTTGCCCCATCCGCAAAGGAAGGTACTGAAGGCTTTGTTCCATTTCAACTCTACTTTGAGGAGGCAGCTCTTCCCCAGTCGTGTTTTGAATGCCTTCCCTGAGGGGCTCATCTTCTGGCACTAAATCTGACAGTATTTTGGTGCTGTTCATAATATTTCAATGTTCAATATTCTGGTGCTATCTGACAGCATTTCTCTGCTATTCATAAGGCTTTCAGTGACTAAATATTCAGAAGTAGTCTGTCTCTCCTTCTTCCTAGTCTGTCTTCATCTGGAAACTCATCTGAAATCTGTCCACCACAGATGGCCCTGCTGGTATTTAAAATATCTGTGCCATAGCTTTCAGAATCACAGCAACATCCAAGCCATCACAGACTATAGATGAGTGGTGGGTCTTTCTCTGTCTCTCTGTCTCTCTGTCTGCCTCT